TATAACTACGTACCACTCTCGTGTGTAAATATGTGATTAAACTATGGAATTCTACTCTCGTAGCAACCCACAAAAATTAACCAACTAACCACAAGCAATATAAATGTTTTGTTGCCACGCATAGCTGAAAAACTAGTTGAAAGTTGAAAGTTAAGTTGAAAAGCTAGTATCTAGTTGAAATTAAATTGCTTGGTAAAATTAATTGTGAAATTAGCTGATATGTCTAAAAAAATATATATATTAATTAAGATATTAGGATTTTGATTAATGAAGGGTAGACTGTATCATTTTTTTTATATTAATAAAAAAAAAATTAAAAGTTAGGAGCTTATTTTAAAACGCTGTTTGAGGTAGCGTTTTAAAATAAACTATTATTTTAACCTCCATTTTTACTAAACATAGCTTATAGTTTATTTGTAGCTTAAAATAAGCTATAAGCTCTAAAATAAGATTTACCAAACAGAGTCAAAGTCCCCTAGAAAATCACTCACTCTCATAAGATGCTTTTTACAGCACGTTTGGTTCACAGAATGAATTTTGCTGTAGTAGGAATGTTATTCCATAAGGAATGGAATATGCAAGGAATAGAATATGAATTGTATTCTATTGTTTGGTTCGCGGAAAGAATAGACTTTAGGAATTATATTACAATATTTGGTTGGTTTAAGGAATAGAATGAAATATATTTCAAAAGACATAAATACCCTTATAAAAATATGTGGTGGTGTTGGTGTTGTTGTTGGTGGTGGTGGTGGTGGCGGTGGCGGTGGCGGTGGCGGTGGTGGTGGCAGTGGTGGCGACGGTGGTGGTGGTAGTGCAGTGGCGGCGGTGGTGGCGGCAGTGACGGTAGCAGTGGCGTCGATGGTGGTGGTGGCAATGGCGATGGTGCTGGTGGTGGGGTGGCGATGGTGGGGTCGTGGTGGTAGCGGTGGTGGTGGAGACGGCAACAGTGGTGTCGGTGGTAGCAATGGTGGCGATGGTAGGGTATTTTCGGTATTATAGTACTAAAGCTATTTCCAAATACTTGGGAATAGCTAATACCAGGGGGTCCCCTAGGAATGGTTATTCCCCCTGCAAAGGGAATAGCTCATCCCGGGAACGCTATTCCCATGAATAAAATGACAAAACAAACAATGGAATATGTCTATTTTTGAGAATGATATTTCATTCCCGACCTATTCCATGAACCAAACACGCCTTTAGTGTGTTTACGATACCTAAGTTAATGCCACTCTCATGTGAACTTAACAAGCAATAAATTATATACAAATTGATTAGGGTTCTATGCAATTATTAATTAAACCACACAAACACAACACATAAAGAAATAGAAATATTACAAACTCATCAAGATTTTAAGAACAAGCTACATGAATAAACTTTACTAGAACACAAACCATTAACGAAAGTTAGCCACTCATGATGGCAGAGAAATCACGAAGGTTCAAAGTAAAAATCTCAATTACAACGAGAAAAGTAAAAAAAAAAAAAAAAAAAGGAAAGCTTAGGGCAGGATTCATCGCCTATGAAGCCTTGCCATCCTCCTTCCCTTCCTTACTATGCTTGGAACCAAACTCCAAGGAACCGTTTACTAACTGAAAATTTCTGGAAACTGGAAAATAGAAAACAAAAAACATGTTTACTAGCACAGTTTTCCATTTTGAAAATTGAAAATAATTTATGAAAAACTAGAACACTCTTAAAAATCATTTTCTAAATGGAAAACAGAATCATCTATTATTTATTTAGTTATATGTCACTATAACCAAATTACTAGGATTACATTCATTATTATCTTATTTCACTTATCACTGTCTTCTATTTTTTCTACTTACTTTACTTATTTAAACATAACTTATTTGCTTACACTTTAAAGTTAGACATTATTTACATTATCAAAATTAAGAATTAACTCTATATAATGTTTTAGATTTTGATTGAACTCAATAAATTATTAGTTCGAATATTTTTAATTATGTTACATCGTAATACAAGTTCGGTCCAGATATCAGATATTGAAATCTCACATATATTAGAATTCAAAGTAAAAGTTATATATTCATATACATGTCATTCAAATGAATATATCCAAAAAAAATATTTTAAATATTAGCTCAAAAAATATTAATATTATCTGAACTAAATTTTAGGAGAACTTAGTAGGTTATTGGTTCGGATATATTTTTTTAGTTAGTTATATATACACACATAAATTTTGTTCAGTTATCAAATGTAAAAATCTTACATATATTAGACTTAAAAGTTCAAAAAAAAATAAATTTATTCCTTTTAAACCAAGCATATGTAAAAATATTTTAAATATAAGATCTAAAAATCACTCAAAATTAAACTTGTGTTAATTTTATAACGTTGATCTATAAAAAATTGAAAAAATAAGTGTTATTAAACAAGTTTTCTAAACAGAAAACAGAGAATGAAAACTGAAAAATTAGAAAACAAAAAACAGAAAACATTTTTCTGTTAGTAAACGGATCCCAAGTTTCTTGCATGGTGTGATTTTCTCCCAATATTGAAGTGTGGCCACTTCAATCAAGTTCGGGCTTGGCTTGAGATATGTTTATGAAAAGATACAGACAAAAGGCCTTATAAATGTGTCAAAGTATTCAAGGAAAAGTTGTAACTTATAAACTTGTGTGTGGAGTACCTTCAATTTTCAAAGTGATTGCTCAGTTCAAAGCAAGTCTGCTGTTGTAATTGGAAATAGAGTGAATTCCATTTTTGGTCCTACTGTTATATGGGTCATTTCAATTTTAGTCCACCATAATTATTTTTGCCACATTGCGTCCACTATTATTAAAAGTGTTCTAATTTTAGTCTACGAAAAATTTTAAAATTGACTAAAATTGGAACACTTTTAATAATAGTGGACGCAATGTGACAAAAATAATTATGGTGGACTAAAATTGGAATGACCCATATAACAGTAGGACCAAAAATGGAATTCACTCTTGGAAATATTGTAAAGCCTACAATACTAAGTGAAAGTTCAATCTATAAGACACTTTCATTTATGCATGAGTTTTGAATTTTTGTCTTGTGTCAATGTCAACAAGGTTTACTATATAAATGGAGGAATGTTAGATATATTTATATAGTAATTAAATGGTTGAATATATTTATTTAAATATGTCTAACGGAAGTATAAATAATATTTAGGTGTTGTGGAGTTGAAAATATTATTTATGTTTGATAGGAAGTTTATGATTTGATTGATCAAGAATGTTGGAAAATTTTAATTTCCCTGAAAGTAATAGGATATTGTAATATGTTCTGAAAGATTTTGGAAAAAATTTCCTAGACCCGAAAAGTTTTACTCTTCGGATGACTTCTCGGGAGTTTACTCTTCAAAAGTTACTCTTCATCATCTTCATTAGATATATATACCAAGAAATGCAAGAGTTGTCGTAATGAAATTGATGTAGATATTACTAAAGGACTTACATTATGATTATACACCTTCATCCTTTATAGACTTACATATTGATTTGGACTTTATATCCTGTATATATTGAATTGAATAATTAATAATAAAAAGTTGATGGTTATATCCCTACTCTTATCTTGAACTTATTCACTTTATTCTATAATGTTGTGTCTATTGCATTCCAAGAATTACAACTGTAGAACGATTCACACGAAGAATTCCTTAATTTACAATATGTTATCTGCACGAATGTTCTTCAATTCTTAGTGAATGTATGACCTGTAGGATGGAGGTAATTCTTCGGATTAGCAGCTAAAAATATCAAATGTGCGGGTGTGCAATTGTTTTTAATTAATCCAATTGATTAAAACCCCTTAAATTAAAAACAAAAACAAAAGACTTATGATAGCAAGCATGACGGCGGTATGCTTAAACATTACAGATTGTATTGTCTGCCAATAACTATGATTTTGAATAATCTCACAATACGTACACTTCCACAAATTAAACCATACATATAGATGTCAATTCAGCATTATCATTAAATCAAATATTTTAAGCTGAGTGCGAGATCGAATTACTTATATCCTAATAGGAATTCCATAATAGCTTCATTAATTAATTATTTCATTAACTAATTATTTAGTATATAATATATAAGCATAAATGTTCAATCTAACTATAAGCTTAGTATTTTAGTTGAGATGAAACACATGCTTCAATTTGGTATCAGATTTAACTCAATGTAAGAGATTATGGGTTTGAATCCTTTTGCCACCCGATAAAAGCAAGACTATTGTCACGCAATTGTTTGTGTGTCTGTGTCCAATGAATGAACGGGCCAACTGGTTAGCTTTCCATAAATAGGTAAGGGGCGACAATAGCATCAAGGGTTGTTCTACCTTAGACGCTAAGGTCTGGCCGAGTCAAGCATGTCGACTCGATTAATTCGAGGAGTTTCTCACTGGTTTTGGACTTAACTATGAAGGGGACCGAGGCAGTTCCAAGGGCACAACTGGTCAGGAGCTATTGTTGTTCCCCTGATGAGCCCGTGGCAAGGAGAAACTAGTTTGGCAGGTATGAGGGGCAAGGCTAGTTGGTCCGCGGGGTAGAGGGGCCCTAGGACGCCACACGGGCGCTGAGCGCTGCGCCGAACTCTAGGTCCGTGACAAGTGGTATCAGAGCGATATGTACTTATATTGTCAATGGTTGTTCTTGCCCACCCACTTAAATTCGAGGAGCTGCCACTGATCTTGGACTTGACTATAAAGGGGACCGAGGCGATTCAAAGGGTATGTACAACTGGTCAGGAGCTATTGTTGTTCCCCTAATGAGTTCATGACAGGGCGAAACCAGTTTGGCAAGTATAAGGGGTAAGGCTAATCCACAAGGTAAGAGGAGTCCCTGGACGCTGCACAGGCACTTGGTGCTGCCCAAACTCTAGGCCCGCGACACTATCGGTTCACGCGAAGGCCAGGGACGTATTGAACATATAATATAATATTAATATGTGCTTCAATTATACACACTCTCCTTACAAAACCATTGCTGTTAGTACAAGTCAAATGCTTAATGAACAACGTTTGAGAAAATTATTACTCATTACTACTTAAATATGCCACCCCCACTTCCTCCAACTACTATACTATCATAGCTTCAAAAAAAATGGGAGAAAATCATCACCATCATGACCGTGTGATTCTGCATGGGATGTGGATGAGCACATATGCAAAGAAAGTAGAACTTGCTCTCAAGATCAAAGGCATACCCTTTGAATACGTAGAAGAAGATTTGAGGAACAAAAGCCCCCAACTCCTTCAACAAAATCCTATACACAAGAAGGTGCCGATGTTGCTCCACAACGGACGGCCCATCGTAGAATCAATTGTTATTGTGGAATACATCGATGAAACATGGAACAACCTACGACCTCGGATCTTGCCGGAAGATGCATACCAAAAAGCCAAAGTTCGATTTTGGGCGAAATACATTCACCAGGTGACTCATCCGATCCTCCTCCACTAAAAATAATTCACCAAAGTCAACCAACACCAAACACTACTTGATTTGACATTTTTTTTTTTCAATAGTGAATTTTATTAAATTTTAAATTTAATTTAAATGTTTTTTTTTTGTAAGATCATGATGTATCATGAGTAGACCTAGTTGTAGGAGACAATTCGGTATACTTTTTCAACTTACTGAAACAGAAAGAGTCAATATCATTTCTATTGAGATTCGAACCCACAACCTTTCATATGGGAGAACAACTTGGTGTTGGCCATATTGGATGTAATTGGGAAAGATGTTTAAGACTATGTCTTTCAACCATTGCAAAATACACTCTTAGCTTTATTATATATATATATATATATATATATATATATATATATATATATTTCACCCTTCAAGTAATGAAACCCTTAGTATCCTTTGCGATTTGACTCATATTTTGTATCTGATTAGTAGTTATTTTTTTTTATAAAAGTAGATATGAATTTTTTTTTTTTTGTTTTTGTTTTTGTTTTTTTTTTGTTTTTGTTTTTTGTTTTGTTTGTTTTTGTTTTTGTTTTTGTTTTTGTTTTTTTTGTTTTTTGTTTTTTTTTTAGCTAATTGAGGTTCAAAGTTTCTTATCCTGAAACAAATATTGTAATTATTATTATTATTATTATTATTATTATTATTATTATTATTATTATTATTATTATTATTATTATTATTATTATTAGGGGAAATTGTACTTTCGTCCTTAAGTTATTTGGTAATTGTAGAATTCATCCATAACATGGCGTTTGGTTGGAGGGATTTTAAATTCCCTTCCCACTTAATTCCCACCTAGTTCCAAAGACCATTAAATTCCGTAGTTTGGTTGGAGGGAATTGCAAAATTCCCCAATTTTCATGGAATTAAAATCCCATGTCCCCCCTAGTATTTTAATTCCTGGGAAAAAAAGATAGTGATGAGTCAAAATTACCCCTTCCTTTTTTAACCTAAAATTAATGTCTAACAACAATAATGGGCATTTTTGACTTTATACTACTTATTCCCTTTCAATTCCCATGTATACCAAACATTGGAATTGAAATTCCCAGTAATTCTATTCCTGTCAACCAAACACTGGAATTTAAATTCCCACTTTATTCCCAGTAATTCAACTCCCATGGAATTACAATTTCTTTCCCACATAATTCCCCCCCCCCCCCACCCCCCCCCTCCAACCAAACGCCCTGTAAGTGTTAGTCATACTCACTTTTCATCCATTTACTAATAAAACATTAGGGACGAATTGCAATTTTAGTATAACTCGGGGACGAAAAGTGAGCACGAAAGAATGAAAAGTGCAACACCGTACCAATGATAATTTTGAGATGAAAAGTGAGCATGAACAACACTCAGGAACGAATTCTACAATTATCCTATAACTTAAGGATGAAAAGTGCAATTTTCCATTATTATTATTTGTAAAGTTAGGTGTAATGAAATTCATTCTCAATTTGTCAAAGACCTTGTGGTCAAGCAAGTGACTCTCCCAAATGGGAGGTCATGGATTTCTCGCCTCAGTGGGGGTGATATTGACTCGTTGGACTTCAGTAGGTTGAGAAAGTCATGTAACAAGGTCAATAGTATTCAAAAAAAAAAAAAAAAAAAAAAAAAAAAAAGTCCATTCTCAATTTTTTTTTTCAAATTGAAAAAAATGTACAAGTAAAGGTCATAGACTACATTTGAGCATACTTTGAATTAAAATCAAGAACTAAATTTGTCTGAATAAAAGTAGAAAATGTGATATGAAATTGCCACTATATTTGAGAAAAAGCAAAATTTAATCATGTATCATCCATATGTGATCTGTATATACACTACTGGAAATTATGGAATTTCCGACCAACTGAAAGTGATCTTAAATCAAGTCGAAAGCCTTGTTCCGATCACTTTTGGTATCCGGAAAAACCTTTGTTGCTATTTCCGATCATTTTTTGCTTTCGACTTAATTTAATATCACTTTCAGGTGGTCGGAAATTCCATAATTTCCAGCAGTAATACTTCCTTGAATGTTTCTGAATCTAAGCTAGGTCAATATATCATTCTTCATGCTTGCAAACTTTGGGGCATATTGTCGGCTGATGTCATCATATATATGCATATATTAATTAATATTATCAAACAATTAAATATATATTCACCTGTATCTATTCTACTTTTTTTTTTTTTTTTTTTTTTTTTTTTTTTTTTATAAATTTTAGCTGTCAGATACCATGAAGAAAGCATTCATATCAGCTCGAGGACAGAACAAAAATGCAGCCTTCAGTGAATTCTTTGTGAATTTGGAAATACTTGAAAAGGAAACTAGGGTTTTCTGTCCAATGGAAAGGCCTAAAATCTCAGCTCAAAGTTTGGGGCTTTTAGACATTGCACTTGTTGCCACACTTGGTATGCACAAGGCAGTGGAAGAAGTGTTGGGAATGAAGATAATTGATGAAGAAAAGCATCCATTTATATTCTCATGGGTTGAAAGTCTTCTTGAGCTTCCTTTGGTGAGGGAGACTTTACCTCCACATGAAAAGGCTGTTTCAAGGCTTGAGCTAATTAAACAACATGGTTTTATTTAATGATGGAATTCAGCCACCATAGGAAACTAACTTAGGGTGTTCGTGTTTGGTTCGAATATGAGAATCGGAATGGAAATCAAATACTTGGTAATTGGAATATGTTTTGTGAATGTATTTTGTATGTTTGGTAGTAGGGTGGAATTTGAATGATTATCAATATTGATGTTTGGTTATGTATGACTCTATAATCGGAATAAAGGTTTTAAAAATACAGGAAAAAAAATCAAGGCAATTGATTTTAAGAGTGAAAATGAAGTGAGTAGGTAAGACGACGATGAAATGATGAGGCAATGAATTAAGGAAGGATAAGTTAGCTGAATTAGTGAAATGATACCTAATTTAAATTAGGTAATGAATTTTGTAATTATAGGAGTATTAATCAAATCCTATTTCTATATTTGAAAAAAATTGTGAACAAAACAATATGTATGACTTTTATTCTCATTCTTTGTGTCTAACCCAATAAACCAAACACACCGTTACTTCTTTAATAATAATAAGGTGGGTAAGTATTAGGTAGATGCATGATGCATGTATTGATGGGACCTTGAAGGTCATTTTACTTGAGAATTTTGTTGTTGTTAATTCAATACTAGCCATGTAAAAATATAATTTATTTTGTTTTGTAATTTAGATTTTGATGATGAAATGGGTAATTAAGGTTAGAATTTTATGACCCCAAAGTTATCTTTGTAAAATGTATAAGTCAAAAGTTATCTTTATGAGAGTTCAACAGCAAAGTAAAGCTTTTGAACAATAACGGAGCATTTGGTTAGACTTTAGAGGGAGAGAATTACGTGGCAAAGAAATTGCAATTTCATGAGAAATAAATTATTCGGAATAAATTTAAATTCTAGTGTTTAGTTACAGAAATAAAATTACCGGAATTTTAATTCCAATGTTTGGTATACATGGGAATTGAAAGGGAATAAGTAGTATAAAGTTCAAAATGCACATTGTTGTTGTCAGACATTAATTTTAGGTTAAAAAAAGAAAGAATAATTTTGTCTCATCATTATCTTTTTTTATTCCTAAAATCCAAGGGGGGGCATGGGATTTTAATTCCATGAAAATGAGGGAATTGCAATTCCGTGGAATTGCAATTCCTTCCAACCAAACTAAAGAATTTAGTGGCCTTTGGAATTAGGTGGGAATTAAGTGGGAATGAAATTTAAATTCTCTCCCACCAAATGCCCTGTAAGTGTTTACTTGCAATTGACTTTTTCTATCAGCAAACCTTATTAGATGATGATATACACATTATATATTGGAGTTATATGTTAGCTATTTCCTGAAATATAAATATCAAATATAAATTTAATATTTTAATATATATATATATATATATATATATATATATATATATATATATATATATAGTACTAATATTGGACACCTATTTTTTGCAAATCGCGCATAGAAAATACTAGTATATATAAAGGTACTGGTAGGGAGTATCCCGACCGACATAGCTTTACCCCGGCCGGTGTGCCTTTATCTTTGTCTTCTTGTCTTTGCAGGTAACAGGTCGGGTTTCTTGTGAAGAACCCGGTCGGGATCCGACCGGGAGTTGCCCGAGCGGCAGTGTCGACCACCGAGCGGTAGCCCTTTAGCGAGAGAGCTGACGAGGGACACGTGGCGGCTCCACGCGTTGACAGGCAGGGCACCCGGGACAACGACACGTGGTTGCTACGTGGGAAGCATGCCGAACGGCCGGATTTTTGTCTCCAACTCCGTGGCTATAAATACCCGCGATAGCCACAGTGTGGGGGACTTTTGGACGATCGATAGGTTGTTGTTAGAGAATCCCGACCGTAGTCAGTCGGTACTCAGAGCAACCAAGTAGATTGTACTTAGGGACTTCACAGTGATCAATAAGAGTTATTTACTTGCTTTAATTGGTCTATTACTTATTTAATTACCGCTTACGTGGCAATTAACACTATCATGTACTTTGAATTGGTGAACTAGTTGAGCTATGTTTTGAAACCATTTTTTAGATAGGTTAAATATCGAGAATAAAAATTTTCATTTTTTAAATATTTCCGTTATACACCGAGGCCATTCCATAGGTAAGAACTCGAAACCCATCTTGGCCATTTATTTAGGGTTGCCAATGGTTTAGAAACCTAATTTTATAGGATTTTAGGGTTGATTTTTATTTACTTTAGGTAGTTATGGAGGGTATTTTAATCTGAAAACCGTATGCTTCATTCCAATTTCATCGCATTTACGTATGTAGAAGAAAACCGCCTCTTCAATATGTGAATTTGTGAGCAAGTTTTTGTGCATATATTGTATGGTGTTTCGAATCTGAAAATTGACGAATGAGGATAATTTTTGGGGGGTGTGTGCAACCACTTCGTAATTTTTGTGTTGGAAATATCATTCAAATAAGTGGAGTTGTCTTCATTTCCTGTCTCACATTGCTTTCTTTAGAGTGTTTTTTCCACTTTTTAAATACCAATACTTTTAAAGCATCTCCAACCACTCCATCTCTAAAACACCAAAATTTTTCAGCAAATGTCACATCAGAAGGAATATTCTCAGTATATTTTCACACCAAATTTTATTCATCTCCAACCCATTTACACCAAAACACCAAACTTTTACACTAAAATAATTTTATTTTTCAATTATTAGTTCGAATTTAGTTAGTTTAATATAATTTAGTTCGAACTTAATTAGTTTAATATAAAATATAATTTGTAATGTAAATAATAATTTTTATTAATATTAATTTTTTTATACCATAAATTATTTTAAAAAATCGAATTTAACAATATTTTTGAAAATTTAATTTATTCCACAATAATAATACAACATACAACATCTAGTACATTTAATTATCGGAATTACTAAATCGTTCCCACAAATGCTCAATTTGGGAGGAAGTGGGAGTGGACTAGGAAATTATTAATTTTATTATATTTGTTCAAAATTGTGTTGTATTTTCTAATATTATTATTATGTCGTATATATTTTAATTTTTATTATGTTCTAGTCATGTTTGATGTATGTCGTATGTATTTTAACTTTTATTATGTTCAAGTTATGTTTAATGTATTTGGAATTTTAATTAATATATATTCAATATTAGTGTTATTTCGATCGTCTCAATGTGATCTTTAAAATGGTATAATTTTTATTTAATAATACAAAGTTTAAATATAAGTATTTAACAAAATAAAAAATTACATATAAAACAATTAAGGATATACTTGGAATTATAAAATAAAATAAGGGCAAAAGGGAAAATTTGAGATTATAGCGCGGATGAACAGTGCAGCGCCAAATATAGCGCTACATTGTTCATTAACTTCATTCCCTTTGGCGTTTTGGCGTTTTGGCGAGACACCTTGGAGAGAGAAATTTGAGGGAATGTTGTTTTGGGGATGGAAATTGGCATACCGTTGGAGATGCTCTTACTCCTCTTAAAGTATTGTGGAGAGGAAGGAAAAGGGGAACCCACACGCGCGCACCGCCCGTTTGGCTTGCACGCGCGTCGCGGTCATCCTTTTCCGTCTCTTTTATTTATTTCTGACTTTTTCGCCACTAAATAGAGTCAAGAATAATTTGTGTGGCCATAATAAGTCTTTGTTTTTGTGTGGCCTACTTCTACTCAGCCTGAGCTTACAGTTAGGTTTGCCTGCGATTAATTGTGCCGGTTAGTCGTAGCATATCTATGTTCAACCAGTCGGAAGCGTATCGGGTATAAAGACCGCCCAGTCTCCAGAAATCGCTTTTAAGGCAGTGTTCTATACACGACACAGATTTCTTCTTTCTTTCACCTCATAAATCCAGCCTACATAAACAATAGTACGCACTGCGACATTTTCTGCTCAAATTCCCAACAGTTAAAAGCGATTTCTCCAGAAAATGTCAACCTTTGTCTCCAAACCTGCGTCTGACCTCGCTAAACACGAACCACTTAATGGTGTCAATTACCGTTGGTGGTCCATCAAGATGATGATTTACGTCGTAGCTGTCGAACTCGACTACGTTTTGTCTGTTGACCCTCTCAGCCCTATGGTCTAGTATGAGCCTACTCAAACCAAGCTTACTGGATCCTCTCAACTTGAGAACAAGTCATGATCCTAGATGACACCCCAGATCTAAAAACGCATGATCCAAAAACAACGTCATTCGATTCGTGGGGAGAAGCTACGCTTACAGCTAATCACATTCTCAACAAGATACCTCATTAAGGGTACGAGAAAACTCCATATGAAGTATGGAAATGTTATGCTCCAAACCTAAATTACTTTAAAGTGTGGGGGGTGCTTAGCAAAGTTAGGTCTTCCATCTTTCAAGAGACCTAACCTTGGGTCTAAAACCCTAGATGCAGTTTGTGTGGGATATGAAAAAAACAGTGCTGCATACAGGTTTATGTACCTAGACAGCCGCTCTATGTGCGAGGCAAGAGAGGTTGAGTTCTTCGAACATGTCTTCCTACTAAAACTATCTCCAAGTAGCTCACAAAGGCAACTCTTTACTGCTTCCTTCTTAAATTGAGAACGAGACATGAGAGCCTAGGAGAAGCAAGAGACAAAGAACTGAAACGAGATTTGGGCCTAATTTTATTACATACATATCTGAGTTGAGTGACGTTAATGAAATTTCTTATCAGTTCGTATGTCAGTTAATCTTAGAAGAAAAACCAAAGTCCTTTGAGGCTACTATGCGCTCCGTTGATGTTGTCTTTTGGAAAGAAGCCATCCAAAGTGAGTTATATTCCATAAAATCTAATCACACTTGGGAAGTGGCAGTTCTGCCTAAAGGGGCTAAACAAATTGGCTGCAAATGGATCTTTAAAATGACGTTAAGACCACATTGGTCAATCGAAAGGTTCAAGGCTAGGGTAGTATCCAAGGGGTATAAACAGAAGTTTGGTGAAGACTACTTATGCAGATATTCCCCCGTGACCAAGATAGCCACAATACGTGTGCTGTTTGCCTTGGCCTCATCCCACAAGTGGATAGTCCATCAAATGGATGTGAAAATAGCATTTTTAAATGGGGACTTGGCGGAAGAAATCTACATGGATCAACCACCTGGGTGCATTGATCTAGGGCAAGAGGGAAAGGTATGTAAACTTATAAAATCTTTGTACTGATCAAAATAAGCTCCCAAATAGTGGTATGAAAAATTTCATAAAA